TTCATTTTCCTTTTATATCATTTACTTAATATATATGGCTCATAGTTTTCTAAATTTGATATATGATAATAGTTGCTCCTGTTCAAAGAAAAGGGGTTGGGGGAACAGAGTTTTTGAGGGACTAAGTAGATAACTCTCAACAATAATTCTCTCTCTCATGTTAAAACAATACTGCTATTTTTCTCAAATGCACTGAAACATGCTTTTAATCTCACATTCCAGACGTGAATGAAGTTCGTGGAATTGGATTGTCACTGTCAAAGCTTGAGCGCGCAGACTTGGGTCAGGAAGGTATCTTCAGCTATTTGGATTCTTTCTATTTCCTTATATTTTTAATCCCCAAATCAGATTTCAGTAGTGGATGTGATGAACAAGCAGCATTGTTCCTATAAAATAATAAAAGGTGTGATCTTTGTGCATTTTCATCTGATTATAGGCATCTCAGAGCAAAAACACAGATTGGAGCCCAGGTTCTACCAATTGACTCTGGAATTCCTTCAGTACTTTAAATGGGTCTCCATAATCTTTATATACTTCCTTATATTATTTTATATGTGTATACGCTCATCTTGTCATTCAATATGCAGACACCTGCTCCATCAATTGATCCTGATGAACCACCCCCTAAAATACCTCACCACTGGGTAAGTGACACTAGCATATCAGAGTTAGTTGACCAAGCATGCCAAAATTAATATTTCAAAATTGTTTGTTTCGAAGTTTCATATTTGTGCAATATGAACCAGATCATCGGTAGCAACCACGCACGCAGGCAGGCAACTGTTCACTGAGAGAGCATTGATGGGAATGTGCTTTGCTAACTTATTCTGAATATCCATGGTCAACTCTTGCCATTTCAATAGTTCCTACTAAAATTTCTACAATTAATGCAGCTACATAGATTTAGAAATGGTCTATTACAAACTTTGGTGATATGACCATTTCCTTAATCTATATCATAATGCTACTTGCTTGCTACCAGTCAAGCCTTTCTAATAATATATATATGTATATATGGCTTTGTACTTGTACACACTTAAATGCCATAGTTTGCAATATATGACACTGCTGGCACTAAGTATAGTGCGCCTTTGCTTCTGAATACTATACTAGCTATTTGTGTTTCAATTAACCCCATGCCAGACATAGAAAACTCATAGCACGTTGTTTCTATTTAAAAATTAGACATGGCCTCAACTACATATTTGTGCTACATCTAAATGAACTGGTCCATATGTCCTGTGCCGCGGCAACGCCGTGGGTTTTTTCTAGTTATGGAATATTGATCTGATCATTCAGGTGGTCTTTGAGGTTGTATGAAAAAAGACAAGACAGTTGTAAACATTGCAGCACGCATACTCTTTTTTTTTTATCTATGTCTACTTTGTTAAGTGTTACTCGACGCGCGCAAGGGCGAGCGCATTGCACTAGTTGTATAATGCAGGGACAGACAGGAGGATCGATTCCATGCCACGAGGGAGAAGAGAAAGGAGGGTATTATGGCTAGGAAGGACAAGGTGCCAAGAGGGTTCATACCAGTTCTGATAGGGCAGGGGAGGAGAGGGAGAGGATCCTCGTGCATATGGAGCAGTTCAAGCAGCTCTGTTTTCTTGAGCTTCTTGATCTGGCGGTGCAGGAATTTGGGTACGAGCAGCAGGGAATCCTTCATATCCCCTGCACAGCAGAGGTCTTCCGATCCATCATTGGTCCATTTCTCCTCTTTTCTCTGCAAATGTATTAGCTTAGGGCTTGTTTAGTTCGGATGTTTGACACATGCATGGAGTATTAAATATAGACTAAAAAAATAACTAATTACACAGATTGCGATCAATTTGCGAGACGAATTTTTAAACCTAATTAGTCCATGATTTGATAATGGGTGCTACAGTAACATGTGTTAATGACGGATTAATTAGTCTTAATAAATTCGTCTCGCGGATTACTGAAGACTTCCGTGATTTGTTTTATTATTATTATCTGAACATTCGATGTGACACCCCTTTGGCCTTTAGATTTAAACACCTCCTTCACACAATCACACAAGGAACATGGTTGTGCAGGAGGTGTAAAGGTTTCTGGTAAACTGTGGTGGTAGGGAGGTTGACCTCCAGTGCCCTCCACTGTCCACTTGTACAAGTACAAACAAGGGCTGTAAATCCGTGTCATGCATCGATCAAATCACTGCAATAAGTTGCTATGATGAGATTATGACAAAAGTATGGCTATTGCACCCATTTAATATGCAGGGAGTAGCAATTTCTCTTTATTGCATCTTGTATTCCCTGTACAGATGAACACATGACAGTGCGTTTCATCGCGACGGATTAGTCTCTGGATCGTTCATGGCATGTGTATCAGTATTTATGACAAAATGGTCATAGAACTTATCTACGATGATCAAGTAAGCAATCTGCCTGTTGAAACGCTACATCAGGATTTCGAGGTACAAAACTCCTTGCCAATTGTCATGCTCTATATGGTTCAGATATTCAGTTAAACCGTGGTCGCGGCGAATTTTGTTGTCACTTGTCAAATAAAATAAAAGGAGCTCTGTCCATTTTTTTTTCCTGAGGAAACTGTCCAGGTTCAGTTAAGGAGCAACATTGCATCACGCGCCACGGTGGGCTGTGTGTACCTGTATGTATCCGCCTAAGTGCTGGGCTTCAAAGAAGAGAGTCACGTTCCTAAGCGGGCTACCATTTCGGCCAGAATGTCTCTGAGGTCCGAATCAAGTGCCACGATGGGCTGTGTGAAGCCCAGCAGACAGCCCCGTTCACATCCGTGGAACCGGGAATTGGGCGCTAACCGAGTAACAGTGGCCGGGAATCATTAGGTGGGGCCAGCGATCCACATCGAAGCCGTCCCAGCCAATCAGCTCGCAGAACACCCAGCACGCGGATCGTCCCCCGCCAGCAGCGATACCCTCACCGTCCATCCCAATCCAATGGCCCAGATTACTTCGCCGCTCGCGCCAGCGCCTCCCGAAAATTTTCGCCGTCCCTCCGTGCCCACCCAGCACACCACCTCTGCCACCAGTATAAACGCAAATCCTCCTCACACGGCAGACCGCATCCCCAGCTTGCAATTCCCCATCCCCCAAATCCTCCGATCTCCCTCGCCGCTCGCTCCCAAGCCAATCCGGCACCGATGGCCCGCACGAAGCAGACGGCGCGAAAGTCGACGGGCGGCAAGGCGCCGCGGAAGCAGCTAGCCACCAAGGCGGCGCGCAAGTCGGCGCCAGCCACCGGCGGCGTGAAGAAGCCGCACCGGTTCCGCCCTGGCACCGTGGCGCTGCGTGAGATCCGCAAGTACCAGAAGAGCACGGAGCTGCTGATCCGGAAGCTCCCCTTCCAGCGCCTGGTGCGGGAGATCGCGCAGGACTTCAAGACGGACCTCCGGTTCCAGTCCTCCGCCGTGGCGGCGCTGCAGGAGGCCGCCGAGGCATACCTCGTGGGCCTCTTCGAGGACACCAACCTCTGCGCCATCCACGCCAAGCGCGTCACCATCATGCCCAAGGACATCCAGCTCGCGCGCCGCATCAGGGGCGAGAGGGCCTGAGCCGCCTCTGTTGCGCTTCGTTGGCCTTCTGCTTCTGCAGTGCCAAGAACTAGTGCTGTAGTAGATGGGACAGTCGTTCCCTGTCGTGCTATCTTGGGGACTAGAAATGTTCTGGAATCTGGATCTGTTGGTCTCGATGCAATGCAATGTGATTGTGGTTTCAGATTCTTACAAGAGCTGCCATGTGATACTGTCATCCGTGCTGCTTGTTCTGTTCTTACTGCCAAGAATGTGATTGTTACTATTAATGCATTATGAACTGGACGGGTTGTACCTGCTGATTCAGATTTGGGCATAAGATTATATATAAAGTATAACTGTCCAGTGGGACGCGGTTCTGGACTTGTGCGGTTGATTGTAAACATCTGACTGCCGAACTGAAACGGTGTTTCAGACTATCAGCGTTTGTTTCTGCATTTCTGCTTCTGAATTGAATCGACGCACAATGGTTTAGCGGCTGTGAAACCAACATCTGCCTCATCTAGTTTACTACTGCTTTATCTTTCAAGATGAAACAAGTCTGCTACAGTGCTACGCCGGTTAAATGAAACCGTTTAGTCTACTCTCGATTATCTTTTCTCCTTTTTAAATCAAAACCTTTTAATTCAAGAAGGCAGTAAACCACAGCAGGCAAAGGTTTAGTTGCAGACACGTGAACCACAGCCCAGCGTCACCAAATTATTCTTGAACGAAACTCACACACGACTGTAGAGAAACTATCTTTGGGCCTGTTCGCTGGTTGGTGCTGGTGCTGTTTTGGGCTGGCTGGTGCTGGTTTTTTGTGAGAGGAAAACACTGTTGACTGGTTGGTGCTAATTCTCGATGGACTAGCATGAGTCACAATCCCTGGTAGCCGCAACCGTTTTCACAAATTTTGCCCTGTTTAGTTCCACTTCGTTTTGCCAATTTTTTCAAGATTCTCCGTCACATCAAATCTTTAGACGCATGCATGAAACATTAAATATAAATAAAAAATAAAACTAATTACACAGTTTAGACGAAATCCACGAGACGAATCTTTTAAGCCTAATTAGATTATGATTGGATACTAATTACCAAATAACAACGAAAATACTACTATGCTCATTTTGCAAAAAAATTTACATCTAAATTGGGCCAAAGGCACAAGGTGACTGTACAATGTTTTCAACGGCTTTTATTGTGGTCTCCCAAAGATTGTTTAAATCGACGACCTGGGCAACGGTGCCATGTTGCGACTAGTGACATTTGGTGGGTCCAGGGAAAGTTAAATTGAATTTTCTTTGTTCCATTAATTACTCTTTCTAGTTCATGAACACTGGATGAAATGCAATCAGAGCATTTTTTTTTTAATGAGACACTCAGCCAGCACAATGAGCTTTTCTCCCTAGTAATGGGAGTTTTTTTTTCTTTTTTTCTCGAATACGCAAAAGTGTAATGGTAGCTTTGTTTTACGCTAAAAACTAATTTTGTGATCCACTAGTAAATGGTCCTGATGACGTTGACGTATCTGAAACGGTAGTTGTCTGGTGTTCTGTTGACGAGTGTGGCCTCCCAAAGATGGTCGCCAGCAACCTCGGCAGCGGTGGCAAGTCGCAGTCCAAGACGCCCTCCAGCACCTGAACCACTTCCGCCATGGTCGGCCGGTCAGCCTCGTCGTCCTGGATGCACCAGCAAGCCACCTTGCAGGCTCTCTCCACCTCCACGAGATCGGCATCGCCGCAGAGCTTGTCATCCAGCAGACTGCTGACGCTGACTACGCCCGGCCCCTTGACCAGCTCCCTCGCAGCTTTCATGGGGAAGAACGCGAGCTCCTCCTTAGAGCCGCTGGTCGTGCGGTACTCCTCGCCGGCGGCGTTCCTCCTCCCCGACACGAGCTCCAGCAGCACCATGCCGTAGCTGTACACGTCGACCTTGGGCGTGACGGCCGTGCCGCTGATCCACTCCGGCGCGAGGTAGCCCTTGGTGCCCCTCACCGTGGTGAGCACCCGGCTGAAGTCCCTGCCGACGAACTGGCCATCCCGAAGTCGGCGATCTTCGGGAGCAGCGACGCGCCCAGCAGGATGTTCTCCGGCTTCACGTCGCAGTGGATGATGCGGTCCCGGCAGCCGTCGTGGAGGTAGGACAGGCCCCTGGCGACGCCCACGGCGATCTGGTACCGGGTGCCCCAGTCCAGGAACACGCCGCCGCCGCCGCCGCTCTGGAACAGGTGGATGTCGAGGGACCGGTTGGGCATGTGCTCGTAGACGAGGAACCGGGCTCGCCCTCGCAGCAGAAGCCCACCAGCCTCACCAGGTTGACGTGCTGGATGACGCCGATGGAGCTCACTTCAGCTCTGAACTGCTTCTCTCCCTGGAAGCTCCCGTCCAGCCTCTTCACCGCGACGGCGGTGGAGTCGCGCAGCTGCCCCTTGAAGACGGCGCCGAAGCCACCTTGCCCGAGCTTTTCGGAGAAATTCTTGGTCGCGGAACGCAGCTCTCTGTATGAAAAGGCCGTGAGCCCACCACCCGCAGCAGCTCCTCGATCGTCGTTCTTGGTTTTCTTCCTCCTCCGGATGATCAATGCTGTTGCCAGCACCAGCAAAACCAAAGCAGCAGTACACGCACCGGCCACGGCGCCGACGATCACTCCTCGTTTCCTGCCTCCTCCTGATGTCTGAAATTCTCTTGCAGCGAGACGAAGATAGAGAGTTTCTACGTCAGAAACAGAATCACCGCCGTTGCTCTGCGGTTGTTTTGCGTCGAGCAACCCATCCTGCCAAACCAGGCACCCCTGGCTGCCGCCATAGGAATACGCAGTGCACGAGCAGTTGTTCAGGCAGGCCGTCGAGCATTCAGCTGAACTCCTCACATTCTGCAAGGTACGCCCGTTGGCAGGCAGCCCAATGCTGGGCATGGGGAAGAACCCATCAGTTGAAGACGGTGCACTACTGCCATTGCTGTTACCAGCACTACAATCCAGTGGAGCATCTCTGACGCATCCTCCTGTCCGGTCACCCTGCTCCCAGTCCATGGGCGACCTCACCGAGAAGCCCTTCATGCAGCTGCAGGGCTGCACCGCGGTGTAGCTGCAGACCGTGAACGGCCCGCAGGCAGCGTACACGTCGCACTGCGCCTTGGGCCCCGCGTAGAGCGTCAGCCAGCCCTTGGACGCGGCGAGCCACACCTGGTGCCTGTTCTGCCCGGTGACGTCGACGAAGTTGCGCGTCACCGTCGCCTCGGTGGTCACGTTGAACTGGAGGTACTCTTCCCTCGCGTCGTCGATGAACGCGAGGTGGAAGTTGGGCACGTCGCCGGCCAGCTCCGGGATGTTGCCGAAGTACCTGCCGTTCCACGCGCCGGTGGCCCAGTAGGTGACGGACACGGACGAGTCTCCGCAGAGCTTGAGCACGAGTTGGGGTGCGCCGGGATCGACCTCGAAGCAGTAGCGCCCGGGGACGGCGTGGCTGAGCTCCTCCTGGAGACGAGGCGGGTGCTCACGCCCGTGGTTTGTTGAGGCCGAGCTTGGCGCTCGGGAGCAGCGTGTCGGTCGGGTGGTCGAAGCTCTGCCACAGAGTGCGGCCGGGAGCCGCCGCGGAGGAGCTGGAGCTGGAGTTGGAGACGTCGAGGAGGACGAGGTTCCCGCTGTCGAGGAGCACGGCGATGGCCGTGGTGGTGCTCGTGTTGGCGGCGGCCGGGGTGGTGTTGTGGGCGGACCTGGCGGACCAAGTCACCGACTTGGTGGCGTGGTTCACGACGGCAAGGTCGCCGTCGCCGGAGACCGTGAGCTGTGGTGATCCGGCGTCGGCGTCGATGATTGGATTCGCGCCGTTGGCCACCCAGACCGTGGTCCGGTCGGGGACCGCTGTGAACCATATGCCGAGGTACCACCTGTCGGGCGCGCCGGCGGCGGCGCCGTCGGGAGCCTTGAAGAAGCCGAGCGTGAACTTGCTGTTGTTGGACACCAGCGTGTCGTCTCCGGCGAGCACCTGACCGGGCGAGAGGGTGTCCGTCGTCGCGACGGAGCGGCACGCGCTGAGGAGGGCGAGGAGACCGACGACGACGAGGGTGGTGGGCAGAGCGACAGACATGGTGGTTGGTGAAACGGGAGCGAGGAAGGGCTTAGCCGCTGCTGGAGTTTAACATGTGGACGTGGGCAGCCACGTGCCAACGCCGCGGCCGAGACGGCAGCAGGACGGACCAAGTAACGGTAGCCCGGACGGCGGCACGGCGGGGCGGCCGGCGTGCAGTGGAGCTGTACCAGAAATCAAGTCGGGCAGCCGGCCGGCCGCTGACGAGAAAACCCACCGTCTAGATGCCGATGGCGACGGCGCTGGTTAATGGTGCCGCGTTTGTCCAGCAGCGGGGAAGTCGCCGACGACAGACAGCGCCACAGCGGCGGCGTGGCTAACGGTGTGCTTTGTGTCCTTTCACCGTGGCCTGCCGGCTGCCGCCGCCCTTCTTCAATTCGCCCGTGGGCCGTGGAATTCAAAGCTTTTTTCACGCGACGCCCTGTGCCCCGTCGCGTCACCCCAGCAAGCGGCCAAACACCAACAAAAAGGAAGGTGCTGCGGCTTGCACGACGGTCCAGATGCGTCTTCTAGAGTCTGCATCGGTCAGGACGTCAGGTGACCACGACTGACGTGCGTCTCTGCATCAGTGCGTTCATCTGTTTTTTTTTTGAGCAACTAGTGCGTTCATCTTTTTTTTTTTTTTTTTTGTTGAGGAAACTAGTGCGTTCATCTGCTGGCTGCTATGCTAATACGGCGGCGGCGGGCTGGGCCTGCAGCCTGGGCCGATGGTCGCACGGAATCGATCTTCCTGGGCCTCCGTTTTCTTTCTGAGCGGCAACATGTACATGGAGCAGGTTGCCGTTCCGCTGAAACAAGCTACAGAGCACCACACGTGGCGTGCAACTAAACCATTGGTTCCTCCAGTGAGCAAGTGAGCAACTCCACGAGACGACACCGCTAACCACTCAACGATCAAGCCATCAACATGTCCATATGTTCGTCATATATATAGAGATCTCATGTGGGTAGCTCAAGCCATCACAGTCGCAGCACAGCCAGAGCACAAACAGTTGCAGTATCACCAGCGGGACGAGCTAGAAACAGAGAGCCTGCTCTGCTCGAATGGCGTTCAAGAAAGCAGCCATCGGACTCTCTTCCTTCTCCTCCTCCTCCTCCTCGTCGCGCCCAGCGCCACCGCGGCGAGACCGACGCACCAGCTGACTTCCGACGACGACGACGACGGCGCTGGTGCTGCGGCGCCCGCTACCGCACCGGCCGTCGCACCTGCGGCTGCTGACGCACCGATCGCTGCCGCCAATGCCATCCCAGCTGCGGCAGGAGGGGCCGGTGTGGCGGCGCCCGGAGGCGCCGCGGCAGCTGACGCACCGGTCGCTTCCAATGCCATCCCCGCTGCTGCTGCGGCGGCTGGTGGCGCTCCTGAGGCAGCTCCGGTCGCAGCCAACACCATCCCTGTGGGGGCGGGGGCGGCCGGCGGCGCTGACGGCCACGGGATGGTCTTCTTCATGCACGACATCCTCGGGGGCACGAACCCGTCGGCGCGCATCGTGGCCGGCATCGTGGACAACGCCGCGGTCACGGGGCAGCTCCCCTTCGCGCGGCCCAACGGCGCCGTGCTGCCGCTCAACAGCGGCGTGAACGTCAACTCCGGCGCGGCGGGCGCCATCGACAACAACAACATCCCGTTCCTCACGGGCCTCGGCGGCGCCACCAACGCCGCCAAGTCCATCGGCAGTAACGGGAACGGGAACGGCAACGGCAACGGCGTCTCCGTCTTCTCCGGCGGCAGCCTCCCGCAGGGCACCACGCTGCAAAAGCTCCTCTTCGGGACCATGACGGTGGTGGACGACGAGCTGACGGAGGCGCCGGAGCTGGGGTCCGCGGCGGTGGGCCGCGCGCAGGGGTTCTACATCGCCAGCTCCGAGGAGGGCGTCAGCCAGACGGTGGCGGTGACCGCCATGTTCAAGGAGGGTGGGTTCGAGGACACCATCAGCTTCTTCGGCGTGCACCGCACCGTGGACTCGGAGTCGCACCTCGCCATCGTCGGCGGCACCGGGAAGTACGTCGGGGCCAAGGGCTTCGCCAAGGTGGCCGTGGTGAGGCCCGGAGGGGTGGTGGCGTCCGGCGCGCTGCTCGAGACCGACGGCATTGAGACCGTGCTCCAGTTCACCGTGTTCCTCGTGTAATGTATGAGCGTGTCAAGGAGCGGCAAGTGCGTGCAACTGAGGTTGATGTGTGTGTTGTTTGGTGCAACAATTAGTTGCATACGAAACTTGATGTATTACTAGCTACTAGTACTACTCTACTTGTTACGAATACGTGCTTTCAGAGGTTGTTATGATACTTATATAACGTACTCATTGTTCTAAATAGTGGCTATAGCGGCTTACACCAGTTAACGCTACAACACTGTTGCACAAATAGAGGCCTATACGGTCGATCAGATCTCTCCGCTAAATGCAACAACCTGCTATTTAGGACATTTGTAAAATATTAGTTAAGTTTATGCTAAATCAAGCTATTCTATGTTTAATCAATGTAGAATGACTAAAACAGAGTCTAGGACCCTGTTTGGATCGAAGGAATTTCAAAGGAATACATTTCTTAGAAAGTTTTTGAAGTTATGAATATCTATACGTCTGGTCTATTATTTAAACAGCCTCAGGTTTGCCTCAACCGTATATGGTGTATCAAGTATATTTGGGACTTAGATATATGATCTTAGTAAAGAACTGAAATCATTACCTTGCTAGGTGTAGCAGCTACAGGTTAGTCACTTTGGTTATACAGAAATGATATGATTTTTTAAAAGGAACATAATTCTTCTCCTTTGAAGGTTATTTACTTGGATATACACTGACTTGGTACATAGGCTATTCTATCTATAGAAGCCAATGTTACATAATTTGGTTGTAACGGCATTTTAACGATTGGCACAGGTGGCTAAGAAGTTTTCTATTCGAGCACATATGTGACAATCTAGTCTACTAATCGAATATTGTTAGTGTGTCTGAACTTTATAAATCTTTTTGTAAGGTTGTGTGTATCCTTGTTATGCAGAGGTCGGAAGTGTTTTAAAGTCTTTGTATTATCTTGGTAAAACGATCTTAAAATTAATGAAGTTCCCTTGTCAAAAAGATAGAGTCCATACACGGATACACCCAGCCGCACCAACGTGCTCAACCCCCGGCGCCCGCAGTCACAGCTCGGGGCTGGTGGCGTCAGCCGCCTCACTGCACCGCTGACAGAGCCTGCCATCGGTTTAGATTTCGCTAATTTCTTAGCAATTCTGCTTAGTGCCTGTTTAGTTCCCAAAATTTTGTAAAATTTTTTAAGATTCCCCATCACATTGAATCTTTGGACGCATGCATGAAACATTAAATATAAATAAAAAATAAAACTAATTACACAGTTTAGATGAAATTCACGAAACGAATCTTTTAAACATAATTAGACTATGATTGTACACTAATTGCCAAATAACAACGAAAGTGCTACAGTACCATTTCCCAAAAAAATTTCGCCAACTAAATAAGGCCTTAATTAAAACCTAGCAGGGAACTCCAAGGGCATTTTATCATTAGTAAATATAAGTCCCAAAATCCAAAATGTGGAAATGCTACATAATGTTCATCATTCATTCATTCATGTATGTACTTGGTAAGAACAAACAAATAAGCTAATGCCCTGTCAGTGTACAGTGTGATAATCTCCAGTTCTCCACCTCTCATGCAGTGAGTATAATATATAGAACGTACATGGACACAATGAAACAACATTATGTACATTCAACAATTCAAAGTATGTACAAATTTTCAGAAAAGCCAGCACATGGAAAGTTGGGTGCCATGCGTTCACAAATGTCGGAGGAGCGTGGTTATTTTGGATTGTTTGATTTAGATATGTCAGCTCGCAGCTCCTCTTCAAGTTCGTCGAAGTCCCAACCACTTATCTCCTCATGGTCTTTATTAACTTTTCCGAATTCTAATTCTAACTTTGCAAGCTCTGAATCTGTGTCCAGCATCTGCTCAGATTTCCCTGGAGATTTCGGAGAGTCCACAGGCACATCTTTGGGTGAAGAGGGTGCCTGAACAGGTGAATGACTCGCTTCAGATTTGTCTTTGGTTGAACGACTAGATCCAGACCTGTCCTTCATTGGTTCCTTTGCCTTGCGGACTTCAATGTCTAGTGTCGGCCTCTCTACCGACTCAAATACTTCCCTCAGTTTCTCAATCTCAGAAAATAAGGTCCTGACCTCTGCATCATCTTGCCTGAAAATTGAGAGGGAAAGGTGGTTTGTCCAACTGCAGGGATCACAAGCACGAAAAAGAGACTCAGTAATTAAAGCTGAGAAGAGTCAGGAGTACCTAGAATTAGCCCCTTGCTCAGAATAAAACATCTTCTTCATGCGATCTACAATGCTGAAGGCAATTACGATCTGAAAATGTGGGAACATTGTCAACCAGCTATCCATTCTATATAAAAAGCTGAATAGGCTAAAAAAACATTTATGTTCATAGCACGAATTATAATACAAAGACAGCTAGGGATCTTTATTTGGGCAGGTTTGTGACCTTAACAACATCTAGTTAAGAGTTCAGGTGTAATATCAATGTTAGGTACTAAAAAGGACCTTCTTTTCAGTTTCCAAATATTCCTCCTCAAGGGACTTTTGTGGACTTGTCTTCTCAGAAACCTCATCATCCCCTCCATACTCTATTGACTCCTCCCTATAAAATTTGGTTCAGAATACAGATTGCAAAACCATTAGTTCTATTTTGGATATACAAAAGGAAGGGTACATGTAAGACATTACAAAGAACAATTGAACAACCTAGAATTTAAGATTGCCAAATTATCACACGATAAAATGCGGTTCCGCTCAATTGACGGGCTAAGAACCTCCTGCCCAAGAAAAAGGATGCATATGAGAAACTGAAACAAATATATACTACAATAATACAATGCTTGAACAACATATATTCAGCCAACAACCTTGAAATAAGAAAGATGATGCTTGGTCGACTTCAGAAAATTGTTTGTGCATCTCTCCAGCTCGTCACTAAACAAAAAGTAAAGCTGAATCAGGCAAACATATTATTTTGTCACAATATTCTTCACAACAGGATGAGAAGAGTAATAATAGGACAAAAGGGTCGAAACTTGTAATAATTACATACTTCGTTTTATTTTCCTTCTGTTCATTGTATGACGACTGAAGTTGCCATGTATCCTCAAGGAAATTTACCCAAGTCTTGACTACACTGGCCTCCATGTTACATGAGTCAATAGATTTTGACAGGTCATTCTCCTAAGTTGATGCAGAAAACAAAATATCAATCTAGTCAATATATTGAAAAAGATAATAAACATCGATCCCATCAAACACAGCAGAATCAAAACAGAAACTGGATAATCAGAAAAGCGTAGCCACCTTTGCTTGTAAACTGAAGATCATCTTGTTGTTTGCTTCATGAAACTGGTCCCTCTCTTCCCTCGTCTGCTTTAGTCGACCAACAGCAGCATTCAGTGAAATGTTGACCTGTTCATCATGAAACATTGGAAACAAATCAAGATCAGAACAAATGTTTGACTTTCACAAAATAATAGGAGACAGGAAAAAACAACAAGAAAATAAAATCTTCCATAGAGGTCTCAGGATAAGGTACCTTCTTCAACTGAGCCTCAAGTTCATCCCTTTGCTTCTCCAATTCAGAAATCTCAGCAGTCAAATCCTACATGAGACACATTAGAAAACAGGATTTGTTTGTGCAACCAACAGATTACAACAAATCAGAACTTAAATGTACATCCATTGTATAAAGTACCACAGATATAGATATACATGTGCAAGCAGAATGACTTTCCATGCAGCTATCAGATGCAATGAAATAAGTTGAAAAAAAGCTTACAAAGGTGCATAGCTATAATTATATGCTAGAAGGGAAATGCAATCAGAATTCTACGTTATACGATGTGTGACTTTTATAGTATAGGAGCTACAAGCAGATTCTACATATGAGCTTGGATTCTTACCTTTTCAACAGCGATCACTTCGTTCTCCTTTTTAGCACGAAAGTTAAGAGCCTCTTCTTTCTGGCATCTGAAATAGTAAAATTTGAAAGGTCATTGGAAGGTTTTCGGTATTTATTTATTTGTTTCAAAATGCACCAAACGAGATTTTGAAAAATCATAAAACAACAATAGTGGCGAGTGAACAACATGACTTGTATTCATGGTGTACTCACTAGTGAACAGATTTCACATAGACTAGGAATTGCGTACTGATAATCCTGCTTATTTAGCGACAAATGCCTGAACTAATATCTAAACAAAAGCGCAGTAACTCTGACATCCCTATACTTTAAGCCAATGTAAATTGAATTGTTAAGTATACAGAATGCAGATTATACTGTCACAACGAATATAGTTGAAGTTTGATGTGTGCATAGACATACGTTCCTCTGGCAAGTGTTAATATGGGTGTTCCTTTTTCAAATGATTATCTCCTAAAATTAATCCGTATGTACTAGGAAATCAAACATGTCACAAGAACAAGATTTCATCCACTAGAAACATAAACTCAAAGAGAAAGCAGAGTCCTTAATTTGTACAAGCTTCAAGATTCTAACAAGAATCAACAAATGATTTTAAAAGATGCCTACTGAAAAGTTAAGCTAAACCTGTGATCCAAAATACGCTTCTCTGCCTTGGAGGATGAATTAGCAAGGGAAGTCGCCAATACCTTTAATTTCTCAACCTGCAATATTTTAGTCCATTATGTTAGTAATATAGCTGTATTTTCACCAATGTCCACATATATAAGCAGAGTTCGTCCAGAATGACTATCAAGTTATTATTTGCTAGTCTAAACAATACAACAGGTAAGATGAAACTTTGACACAATTACAGAGCAACATTGGCAATTGCTCACCTGACCCATTCAATAATTTATAAGGAAATCAACATGCATGGTTATCGTGCCACAACAAACATGGGCCATACTGCAGATGATATAGACTATTCAATGAAAAGTAAATGTAAAAGAGAAATTCTTGGAGCTCAGAGTCCCATAGCTCATAAATTAACTTTCTTCAAAGGATTAAAAAAGGGCGTACCCAGTGCAGAGAGCTCCCGCTCTGTGCGGGGTCTGGGGAAGGGTGTCAGTGGCAAGCCTTACCCTCGC